GCATACCTCCATCGACCAAAATCACAAGATGCGTCGAATCAGGCGCAGCACACCCGCAGATCCATCACAATACGCAATACCTCAAGTAGCAGTAAGCATCAATGCAATTATCATGCGGATGGCACCCCTTCACAACACACCCATATGATGTCTATCGACTTTGGTACTATGGATACTTGCCATTGTTGCCATGCTTGGCAGGTGGATGGGCAACCACATTTTTAATTGGTTTGAGTATATAATAAGGAAGGTACTGATGTCTCGTTTTATTTCCATCTGCTGCCTCTTTTTACATCAACGCCATGATATGAGGTAGTGGATTGTCCTACGGCACTGCACGACGAGAAGGCTCTTATAGACGATAGTTCCACCAGCTTGTTTACGTCAGAAGTTAAATACCCAGAACAGTGACTGTGAGCAGTGTCAATAGTGTAAGAAGTTTGGCACGAGGGTTGCCGATAAGCCCGCCATACGAGGCGAATGTAAGCCCTCACTAAAGCGAAAGAGGTCCAACTGTAGACTAATATGAGCTGATAATGATGAGGAAGGAAAATTTTACCATAAAACATATATGTTTTTACTTAACTATTGTTAACATTTCATTTAAGGGAGAAAAGAATAGGAAATACTTATTAAATTTGAACTCAAGCACACGCTCGTTTTGACATCAGCACAGATAACAAAATGTCATGACGAAATCCTTTTATCAATATTATCTTATACATCACATTACAGTAGGTATAATCGTATGTATTGAACTGTGATTATTTTTCTTTGTTGACGCATAACAATCAATATTATCTATAGCCATTGAGGTAATATTGTACTTTGGTACATAATGGCTCAATGTCTTTAGTTCAATTTTCTTGTCAACAATAAACAAAAACAAATGCAATAATTAATCACGTACCTACTCTATGTTCCTATAAAACGAGAATTGTTAAAAATATGGCAATAGCTTAACGGATAAGAGACTGGATCGCGAATTTAAAATACTCCATTTGAAATCGCTATTTAACTACAGATCTGTAAGCAATTTAGGTTTGGTACTTGTAGCGGTTATTGGACATAAATGTTTTTTGTTTACTAAATAATGGTGACAAGCGAGCACACGATCCACTTGATGCTAAGAGGATTCTGCGACCCATAGACATTTATATCTATTCTCATTTGCGAATCAAAATGCAGATGCGTTGTCAGCCGCGAGGACTAAAATGGAATGCCTCGTTTCCAGTAAAAAAAGGTCTCCGGTTATATAAACTCACCATACGAAACACAGCAGAATTAAGCTGCTATTTTATACTAGTATTCTGTGAAAGAGTGGCCCTTCCCTGTCAGCCGATCCATTCGCGCTAGAACTATACGATTAATAAATCTGTATGATGGCTCTGTCACATAAAAATAATAAATGAGTCTTAGAAGTTAGCACCAATCTCTTAAACTACGCTGTGGTGAGACTTGGTTAAAAGGCGTTTAAATAAGCCGAAAGCCTAAAACCTGTGCTTTAAGTAAACCATTCTACGTATCTCATCTCTGGCAGCATAACACCGCCTAGATTGTTCCGTGCTCCTCACCGTCTATAGATCACTGCGCTTGCTCTCCAGACTCGCTCACAACCAATAGAAATTAAACTAACCTCAACTCGTTTCCTAATTGAGTCTTTACTACTAAGCCATAGAATATATATTCGATTAATCGCCCGGAAGAAATCGCGTTTTTTCACCCGGCGGTCTGACTTGACTACCATTTGCCGTATTTTAGTGGCTCCGATGTCGCATAAATTCCATGCGCTGATTAACCCTATCTCGTCGGAAGTGCAGTCGCACATTTCGACAGCGATTTATTCATTCATTAGCTAAATAACCGCTTTATCTGCTAATTAGAGCGATTGATTAAGCTGCCGTGCTCAAGAGCGACTGGCCTTGGTTATCGCAGGTCACAAACTGACCATAAAATCTTATTTCACGTTGATGATTACATTAGTGAAAACTGGAGAGACTTGATAAACAGTCAATTGATTTGAACGTAAAGTACATATTTTTGCATTTACAATTTAAAAGGGTATGTTTTAAGGGTTGCTTAAAAATAGATTAAGCAAGTTTCAATGTCAAAATAAAAACATAGAACTAGTTAATTTGACGTCGGAATTAAAAAAGTTTATTATGACGTTGCTTTTCTAATTTATATTTTCAATCTGTCCATTCATTTATTTATTTCAGACACAAGTCCACTCCTGAACATCAGCCTCCCACCAAGGAATACCACAAAGCCCAATCCTAAGCCACCTGCATCCATCGACTTCCTGTATGTCTTCGATGAAAGTCTAGATAGATTGACCAGATCGTCATTCCATCTAGTAGGGGGCCGCCATACACTCCGCTCACCGGTACGAGGCTGCCACTCGAAAACATTTCTTCCCCATCGGTTATCGGTTCTTCAAGCAATATGACCGGCCCATTGCACTTCATCTTACTAAATCCGTTGGACTATGTTGATTACTCTGTGGATATTTCCGCCATGTAGTTGCGACGTCGGAGCATTCACCAGCCCATATCATACCGTGGTTGTTGTTAGAGGCGACGGATGGAAATCATACAGAAAATTTTATACGTGATTGTTGCACGAATGGGTTGGCTAGACCGGGGTAGGACCACGCTCTCACAGAATACCAGCGTGAAATAGCAGCATAATGCTGTTGTGTTTCGTATGGTGAGTGTGAAGAACCGCAGACCCGTTTTACTGACGAGGCATTTCATCTTAGTCCTCAGGGGCGACAACGCGTCTGCATTTTGATTCTCAATCGAGGTTCAATGTAGATGTCTATTGGCCACAGAATTTATTTACCATTAGGTGAACTGTGTGCTCGTTTTTTTAATACGTTATTCTATAAAAAAAACTCAAAAATAATAAAAAAATTGCTATTAGCACTTTTAACACTGTGAGGCTATATTGTATGGTGGTAGGCTTATAATCAGTAGTAGTATTTGGATAGTGTGTAAATATTTTTTCAAAACGTTATCTCCACACTAAGATTTTCTCCTGTATCGCGGGGGCAGTTTACAAACATAAATTTCACAAGGACAAACATCCAGACTCGGAACAATTACTTGTAGGCCATACAAATACTTGTTCCGTGCGGGATTCGAACCCGTGGCCCTTAGCGCTGTAACTCATAGCTAAGCCACTGCGCCACGGAGCCGTCAAATTAATCAATTAGTAAACTTGTATCCATCGTTGTATATGTGCATACAATATTTTAAAATATCGGATATCTTCTTTAAACATTGAACTATAAAAACATACTAAAAAGATGTAGGTACATAATTTTACGTGGTGTTAACTTGCAATTTTAATGCAGTATGTTGCGCACGGGTCGGCGGGCCGCGGTGAAAATTGCAGCCGACACACTCCGCCCATTAACCTTGCGATGTGCACGTTAGAGACGAGCTGTCTTATACTTTCCTCTTTTTATTTAAAGCCAGTTCTACACTTAACTGTTTTGTAATACTTAAACTAATTCACCATATTGTAGGGTGTAAGAATATTTTTAACCCTGTCCTTGGAAAACCAACTAGGGGAAAACCCAGCGTCTCCCTTATAACAACTAAAAAAACTGTAGTTGACAATTTGCCCGCCAAGCGTGGTAGTCCCCTAGGGGTAATACCCTATGAGGTATTATCCCTAGCGGGCTTACCACGTGGGAGAAGCCTCTGTCCAGCATTGAACATTTGATAGACTATAAAGTAACCTTTTTTATAGAATAAGGGTGATAAACGAGCACACAGTCCACCTGATGATTAGTGGATGCTGTGGCTCTTAGATGGATGGATGGATCATTTATCCTCGATTAAGAATCAAAATTAAGGTGATTTATTACCCTATTGAGGACTAAGATGGAATGCCTCGTTTCCAGTAAAAAAGTGTCTCCAGATCTCTACACTCACCATACGAAACACAGCAGCATTTGGCTACTATTTTACGTTGGTATTCTGTGAGAGCGTGGTCCTTCCCCAGTCGAGCCGACCTATTCGTGCTACAACCATAACATAACTGCAGCGTGGCTCTACCACGTATAAAAACCTTAAGTAATTTAAAAGTAAAATTAGGTCACTTCTGTACAGCGTGATTTGACGGATACAATCTTCTTTAACATTTAGAGCAGTTTTGTTCGCCCCATATACTTACTAAAAATTATTAAAAAAATTCGCTAAAACGCGTTGGGATAGCAAGACGGACTATTTCTTCCCCAATCCTCTCTTAGAAAAGAAAGGAAGCCTGTGCCAAGCTGCGGGATGTATATAGGATGTAACTTAACTTTTTATATACTTGACAATACACCTCCAAAAGGATCTAAGAGCCTTCGGGTTTTGGTTCTTTTTTCTTCTTTTGGTTTTAAATTTAATGTCAAGTCTTTCCGATTCTAACGTTATTTAATGGTTTTACTTGGTGAGCATAAAACTTTTCCAAAGTTTTAGATATCTACAGGACGTCACCAAATGACGAATAACGTAGACTATTATTTATAATGGACCCTTTGAAAGTAATTATTCTTTAAGCCGATTTTTAATAATTTACTGAAATATATCTTAACAATTCTGGCCAAATATCAAGCACTTTCCATCAGATGGATTCTGTGCGCATTTGTCACCCTGATTCTATAAATAAAAAACGTTCATTATGATTAATTATAAACTGTTTAGGTATATCATTAACATAGTACAGTGCGAGAACAATTGCCCGTACTAGTATCAGATAAATAAACACAGGATTGTATCCTAGGTTTAATTTCTCGAAAGCACCGAAGCACCGTCTGAACCCAAGTGTTGCCTCTTAAACAAACCAATTCAGAGCGCAGAAACATCGCGATGCCGCGATACCCACTATCTACGATCGCGGCTATTGTTGCCAGATCCAGCCCGTTGGAGAGACCCCTAATTGTCCGCGAGCAACGCGTGCCTTTTGTCTTTGCTGTAATTACTTTTATAAATCTACTAAGCGATTTACATTACAAGGCGGCGATAACATCGGCCGCGCAAAGGTTGCGACTTTGTTCCTGTTACGGTTGAAGCTGCGCCATTTTCTATTAGACAATAATAATTCATGGTGTATTAAGTTATGTTAGTTTATAATTACATGTACAAAATTATAATTTTTTATTTCCGACCGATTTTTTTCGTTATTTAGACGGACGTCATATAATTTCAGAATTTTGTTTTCATTTATTAATTCAATCAGGCATCTAATTCTTGATTAGAGAAAATCGAAGTCATGTAAAGTCGCTAAAACGCATTGGGATAGCAAGGCGGACTATTCCTTCTCCTGTATTTATAAAAGTCCACAGCTAAACATAGATCTTTCCCATAAATTGTTTATAGGGAAATTATTTACTATCATTATCACTGCAACCGCAGTTTATTATTTTAAGCTGTTATTAGGAAGATGCTTATTATTTAGTAGTTATTAGTTATTAAGAACCGTGGTAGCTCAGATGGTTAGCGCTTGCTGTAAATTTCACAGTACGCGAGCAAACCGGGTTCGATCCCCGCCGGCACCAATGACATTGTTAATTGCAATTTTAAGTGCTGATTTACCACGTGCTCGGCGGTGAAGGAAAACATCGTGAGGAATGTGAATGAAAACCTGCATGTCTGAAAAATAAGAAAAGAAATTCAAATGGAAATAAAAGGAAAATAAAAGAAAGCTTAAAGTTTATAGTAAACGATTAAGAAAAATCATTAATTTGACGCAAAAATCGCGCAATAGTTATTATATCAACGATGCGGAGAATAAAACAAAAGCCACATGGAAAGTGATAAATAAGAATAAATACAACTTACCTAAAGATAATATTACAAAAATTAAATTTAATAATAAATATATATACGATCCCGAAAAAATTGCTGAGGAATTTAATAATTATTTTATCAATGAAGTTCAGCCCACAAACCAGTTTAGTAATAGTCACCAAAGTTACACATCCATAAGTAGTAGACTAAACTCAATGTATATGCCTGCATGTATTCCTCACGATTTATATAAAATAATTAATAAATTAAAAAATACTAACAGTGCTGGTAGTGATGATATAATTACAAAAGTAGTTAAGTTAGTAGCCGTTGAAATTTCCCCAGTTCTAAGTTACGTAGTGAATTTATGTATAGAAAATGGTACTTTTCCTAGTGGTTTAAAAATATCCGTTATAAATCCTTTATATAAAAAGGATTACAGACATGACCCTAAAAACTACAGGCCTGTCGCTTTGCTTCGAACATTCTCCAAAATAATAGAAAAAGTGATATATAAAAACTTATATTCTTATTTGGAAGTTAATAACATATTAGCAAACGAACAATATGGTTTTAAAAAATGTAAAAACATAAATATGGCCATGTATGGATTTATTGAAAAAGTGATCACCGGTATCGTACACCAACAACCGCCTTGTTCATGGACATGACCAAGGCGTTTGATTACGTTGATTTAAATATCTTAGCGCTTAAACTGGAAAAATATGGAATCAGAGGTAATGTGTTAAAACTTATTATTTCATACCTGAATGACAGGAAACAAATTACTAAAATAAAAAAGATCTGTCCTTGTGCTAATATTGAAATAACATACCTTTCGCAACAAAAGCAAACAACATACGGTGTGCTGCAAGGAAGCGTACTCGGTCCATTACTATTCCTAATATATATCAATGATTTGCCCCAAGTGACTCAGCACCCTATGACCTTATTTGCTGATGACAGCACAGTTTTATTCACGGGACGAGACAAGGTCTCAATTGAATCGGACATAACTCAGAATTTATACAGGATAATAGACTAGCTGAAAGACAATAATCTTAAAATTAATTTGAATAAAACGCATATTATGTCATTCAAACAAAACAAAACTTAATATTAACTATAAAACTAAAATCATAAACGAAAAAGAACACACAAAATTTCTGGGAATTTGGCTGGACGAAAAAATGACATGGAGTAAACAATTGAACACATAATAAAAAAAGATAAATCAATTCCACGATATGTACATAATTCCTTATAAAAATTACAAATCGTGAAACAGTCATAACCGCCTACCATGCATACGTCTCTTCAACATTGAGATATAGTATAATATTTAGGGGAAATTCTCCAAAACGCGAACTAGTATTTAAAGCGCAAAAGAAATGTTTACGAGCAGTATGTCAGTTGCAGGTTACCGATAGTTGCAAACCGCATTTCATTGATCTTAACATTCTGACCCTACCATCTTTATATATATTTGAAGTAGCTATGTTTGTAAGTAAACATTTTAGCATATTTGAAAACGCTAATAATAAACGACATAGGAATAAACTACGCACAAAACCTCATAAAACAGCCCTGTATTCAATAAGTTTCCTGGGTATGGCTCCTAAAATTTTTAATAAACTCCCAAAAACATCAAAGAAATTGATAATATAGACAATTTAAGTAATTGCTTTCGAGTTTTTTAATATATAAAGCATGCTACTCTATCAACGAATACTTTGAAAATAAAATGAATGGTTTTTAGTACCTACAATAATTAATGGACGATTTATTTATGTTATGCTTATATTTATGTAATTGATAATTAAGATAATAATTAATGTTATTTCTAAACATACTAATTATAATTGAAATTGTTATTTTATTAAAAATTAATTTTCATATTGCCAGGTGATAGTGATAAACCAAATATTTGTATGCCTTTGTAGGCGAAACATAGTGTTACTTATCACACCTTTTCCACCAAGTTTGTAACTTTTTATCTATGTTTTACAAATAAATTATTTGATTTGATTTGAAATTCGAAGACATGTGAAGTTCGCCAACACGCATTGGGGTAGCGTGGCGGACACTTTCTTGCCCTAAAACCCTCTCAGAAATGAGGGGAGGCCAGTGCCCTGCAGTGGGACGTATATAGGCTGTAACTTTACTTGCTTTACTTTTAATATTTAGTTCTGTCGCCTCATACGACAAACACAGGATGACCAGGGGGAGAGGGGTAGTGGATTCTCCTTTGCTGCCACTTATACGCCGTGATTTTCATTCATACTTGAATGTACGAGTATATAGGTGCATTAAAAGACAGTACTACTTGTTGTATGATTCAAAGAATTTTCATACTATGTTGGCAATCTAATTCACCTGTTCATCTTGTTACATGTGCGTTTGATTGTAATGTTAGTTTTTCAATAATTTTTTCGAAATTTTAAAAATGAAAAAATATTACTCGAATATGAATTTAACAAATTGTTTGAGTCGTGGTTAAGTACGCGACCAACACGATTTTTACCCCCACCGCCATCCGTTTTAAATGTTGATTTATCAAGTGCTCGCCCATGTGAGAAAGAAGAGAAAAAAGAGGAGACATGTGAACACACATTGAAGGACTCTAAAACTCTCTCAGAAATGAGAGTATATCTATATATACATATTTTTTATAGGATAAGGGTGACAAACGAGTCCACCTGATGGTAAGTGGATGCTATGGCCCATAGATGGAATGCCTCGATGCCAGTAAAACGGATCTCCGGTTCTCTACACTCACCATCCGAAACACAGCAGCTTTAAGCACCTATTTTACGCTGGTATTCTGTGAGAGCATGGTTCTTCCCAGGTCGAGCCGACCCAATCATGCTACAACCATAATAGCTGCAGCGTGGCTCTACCACGTATAAAATGTATACTACATATGTATACTCTAAGCTTTTAACGAACATCTGAGTAATTATTAAATTAATGAAAAAGTGAAAATATATATCGTAAAAGATATAGATGAAGTGGAATAATAAAAACGTAGTACACATATTTCTTACGTTTGACCTACCTTTCAGTTTACTCTGACACCTCAACTGATCGATGATACTAATGAGCCGGTTCTCCCGATGAGCAGCCTTCATCACTTCATCATCCTCCACTTCCATCTTCACTTGCACTTCATTTTTGCACACATCACTCATTTTATCACTAGGCTTTTCTTCCACTGGTTGAGCTTTTGAACTCTCTTCAATCATATTACGTTTAACTACACTGTTTCCTGATTCAGACATATTTATTTTACTGTTCACTTTACGTAGTTATTTTTGATATTAATTAATTAGAAGTCACCTTTGTTAAATTGCTCAGAAAACATTTATCGAAATTTCGTCTGCAATTAACTATGATATTGGAATAGAAGTAGGTACCATAAAATGAATATAGCATTCTCAAAATACAAGAACAAAAAACTTCTTCTATAAATTTATTCATGTCATTATATTACTTAAAACTAATATTGCAGAAAAGAACTTATAAACTCTACTTCAAAACAAAAAATTAAATAAGCAAAATGTTATTGGAACTATTTATCTTTTTTCTCGCCCATTAGGTCTTTTCCATAAAACTAAAAGTGATAAACGAGCACACGGTCTATCTGATGGTAAATGAACGTTACCGTACATAGACAAATTCATCTGTCCTCGATAAAGAATGCAAATGCAGATGCATTTGTTCCCTCAAGAATCTCTCAAATCCTCGTTACCAGCAAAGGAGTTTCCGGCTCGTGTCACTCACTGTATGAAACTTGGCAGCATTATGCTACCATTTTACGTAGATATATATGAGCGTGGTTCTTCTCTCATCCCGCCGATCTACTATTTCTACAGCCATAATACGCTGCATTGTTGCTTATAACACGTGTGTTTTGTTAATAATTATAAAATATAACAAAAATTAAAAACCGACTTCAAATTGCTAAAAAAGAAGGTGTTTATTTGCTACCATTAGGGAGTGTTTTTCCTCCAAACATTATATGGGACCTTGAAGTACAACCTATTTAATAAAAAATAATTAAGCCTATTTAATTAAAAAAACACATTCGAATTGAGAACCTCTTCCTTTTTGAAGTCGGTTAAAAAGAGTCACAAGTGAGCACAGAGCTCGCTTGATAGAAAAAGAATGGTTAAAGGAAAGTCCTTGAATCCTACGTACATAAAGTACAAACACATCATGATCAATAATTAATAACAACTCCGTTATTACTATTATCAGTTATTTGTTAAATAAAATTTCATTTCACATAAAATACGATATAATTTGAATTATTTAATGAAGATATTTGTAACGGCGACTTCACTTTTGGTAAAATATTAATTATAGCGCCACAGTACTGGTCTAGCCTGGAGTCTAGAATGGAGTCAACATACAATTTACATCATAAAGTAAGCCCAAACAATATTGTTTTTATTTTATAGGATAAGGGTGAAAAACCGTCCCCGGTCTCCGGTTCTCTACACTCACCATACGAAACAATCAAGCGTCAAACTAGATGTTTTTAAAACATCTTTGGCGTCAAGCTGCTATTTTACGCTGGTATTCTGTAAGAGCGTGGTCCTTCCCCAGTCGAACCGAACCATTCATGCTTTTATTATTGTAAGCATGAATGATTTACTTAACTTCCAACACTTCCATAGTATAAATTTAAAGGATAAAAGAAAATAATATTAAAAATATTTTATTTAAAAAGTATTTTCTCACTGCGAAAATACATAACTAAAAGCAAATTTCATAACAAAGATGAAATTACTTGAGCCTAATTGACAACGTAATTACTAATTTAAAAATTAATAGTACATTTTCATACGGTTTTACAAAATTTTTTAAACAAATAAATTATAAGCATCGCTCATTTCTTAACATTTAAACGTCAGTAATATAAACTTCATCATGACGTTTCAAATAATCAAAAAACAAAAAAATAACAGATTAAATATCCCGTTTTAAGGAAAAGATCTCCACAAAGAGAACGCTCCGCAAATATTTTACTTATTCTATATATATATACTATATATACGACATACATATTCTATATATACGAATATATTATATTCCTCTTAAATATTCCTATAACGTTGCAATTTACAGTTTAATTACATTTTAATCTGCACATTAAATAATGTTCTCTTGTAATATAATACATAGACTTTTTTCCGTGGAGCCTGCCTAGGAATCCGACTCTATACCACTCTCTCAGCTATTTCTGCCGCAAAGCATCAGAGCGCGCACTGTTATGTTCCTATCTTAAGGGTATAGAGAACCAGAAAAATTAAAGAGTAAGAAGCATCTTAGCCCTAATAGGTGACAATACATCAATAATATTAGATTCACATATGAACTGGAGAATCCGCAGTAATTACTTTAGTATCATGAAGACATCACAAATGAAATAAGAACGAAAAAGATATTTATAAGAAAATCCTTGAGCAAACACTGAAACTCAGAATAATTATCTGTAGTCGCGAAATTTAGTAATCCGTGACGATACGACCGTCAAAAGCGACGAGACGTCACCAATCTAGGAAGTTGTCTCTGTGAGAAAAGAAATATAATTTCTTATGCCGCATCCAGCATCCACACGTATAGAAAGTTTCAGTTACGTACCTGTTACAAACAATATGACGCAAATATATGTTTGTATGAATTAATTATTAAATTATCACATTACTACTTTTACAGATCATTTATATAAGCAAGTGCTTGTGAGATCTTTCAGGAAAAGGTTGAGGCCTGCGCCCTATAGGACACAACTAATGGCTCTCATTTTGTTTTTAATATGATCGTATCAAAATTATATTGAAGTCTCTTACGCCGGCGGCGGCGTAAATAAATTTGCTACTTTATTTCGTCCCACGGGTGTCTTAATAAGCGATTATGAAAATTTACAAAAAGAACTAATAGCTTCCGATGGAGGTGTAAACCGATCGTGTATACCATTATACCATTATGTAAAAATACACGTTACTGGAAACAGTATCAAAGGTGCAAGATATCTAATACTGAGATCACCAACCCGCTTGAGAAGTGGCGATATAGCTATAGCTGCTTAAAATGGAGAAGATCCACCAAAAGTACTATTACGGGCTTTAATAAAGAGTCATAAAAAATCTAAATATTTTTAAGACAACGTAAGATTTCTAAGTTCCATTTTATATAAAAGTTGTAAATGACTATAAAGAAAACATATAATAAATGCATGTATCACTTATCAGTTAATCACAAAATATAAGGACGTAACTATCGACTGAGTCATCAGTCCATTCCAGTTCATTCGATTATATGTACCTGCGATTACAGAAACCTACACTTGCAATAAATACAATCCTTAGAGTAATAACATACATGATTCAATCACAGTAAATTTAATATTCTATTTCACATTCACATTAAAATGAACATGATGTTCACTGCCTGACATGAGTCTCGTCCATAGTAAACAGGTTGGTATAGCCACCGCACTTGGCAGACTGTTTAGCGATCAGAGTAATATTTTTATAGAATACGGGTGACGAACAAGCCCACAGTCCACCTGATGGTAAGTGGATGCTGTGACCCAAAGACGTCTACATTTATCCTGAATTAAGAAAATGGAAATGCGTTGTCACCCCTGAGGACTGAGATGGAATGCCTCGTTCCCAGTAAAAAGGAGGTCCGGTTCTTTGCACTCACCATACAAAACACAGCAGCATTAAGCTGTTATTTTGCGCTGGTACGTTGTGAGAGCGTGGTTCTGCCCCGGTCGTGACGACCCATTCGGGCTACAAGCTTAATATAACTGCAGTATGGCTCTACCATGTTTAAATATATGTATACAATAAATATGATATGTTGTATTCATATTGTAACAGTATTCTTAAAAAACTATTTCAAATTTAAATATTTAAACTTTTATACAATTTGTGGCGGCGCTATCGTCGCGCCAGACATGAAACACACCGAAGCCTAAATGACGCTATCAAAGTTCCGAATCGTATACTATAATATATATAGGACAGCTCCGAACTAACCCATGGAGCGTTGCCGCTTTCCAGGCAGAACACCTCGCCCGGCAGGAGAATGTGGCCGAGGAAGAAAAGGGGAGATAAATGTAATGAACGCTAAATGAGATTTATGAAATAGCGGGGTAAAAGAAAATGACTACCGTGATTCTCCCGACTACCTGTTATTGTTCATGTTGGGGTTTCACGTATTGGTATATATTATTCTACTATATACACCAGTTGATAGAAAACCTGTAGAGCTTTACATTGTAATGCCCAGATAACTTTACTGTAATACAGGTATATTAAAAAATTTATTTTTATTTTTTCGTATTCTTTTCGTATACCGGGTATAAAGAAGTAACATAACCTAATTTACTTTATAAAAGCGTAAAATAAGATCAAAACTAAAAAAACTTATTAATTATATATAAATTAAGCCGTGGTAACTCCGCTGGCACCGCTGAAATTACGTGGACTTATAGTATTACAAAGCCGCGGAATTGTTTATTGCTAAAGTTTGAATTACTGAATTATCACGTTTTCAACGATACGCGGCAAACCTAGTCAATCAAATCAAAACTTGGAATTTTACAAAACGCGAATATGCAAAATTCGCCAGTCTGCACACGCTTCAATCGGTCATGCTTACAATATTTTTCGTAGATTAAATTCTTAAAACGTATTACATTCTTCTTCAACTTTTTTAAATTGGCTGCATAAGAAAAAATATTTATTCGTCACATATTTATTAAATTAAAATTATTACTCTTAAAAATATTGTTATATTCTTTATGTACAAACAAGAACACGAACTTAGAAGGCCTGAAATTCTAGAGTAAGAAGCATAAATATGAACACTCAAGCCTAAAGCCGCACTTTGACCTACTCTCACTGATTACATAGTTTGTGCTTTCGTATTTATTGTTCATATTTTTAACAAGTTTCGTATTTTTTAATACTTGCACATACGGTACAAAAATCTTCAATTTATCTTTATAATCTCCAATCAATGATTTCAAAAGGAAGGATAGGCCCATCTAAATATTTTACACATAACTTTTTCATACAAGAAAAAGTAGCGCATCTGTCATAATGCAAACGTCATATCAAAACACGACGTAACCAGGGTAGGATTTCGTAGTATAATTATCCTAATTGTACCATTATTTCATAGTTGGTAGTACATAATATCGTAATATTACTAAGCGAAAGTACCGTAATTTTACCTGAAGGTCGACTTGTATTATTATTGG